TGTTATAACTCCCATTTTACAGAAGAAAGTGAGAAGGGAGCATAAATAACTTGCCCAGGTTCACCTGGCCGGCACATGGCAGAGCGGAGTTTTGGACCTGGCTGCAGACCCACGCTCCTAACCACTGCGGCCTCTGAACGTACCATCAATAAAGTCTAATCCTCTGTGGTCAGAGTACAGCTCTGAGGAAGTGAGGATGGAAGAGTAGAATCGTTGAGAGGAAGCAAGTCTTGAATCAGTTTGGGATGGTGTTTATAGAATCCTGTGGACATTCAGAATCCCAAGAGGCAGATGGAATACAATCTGTTCAGGACCAAAGGTCTGAACTGCAGAACTGAAGTCACTTCTAAGCATGGTCATTGAAATTGCTGATGACCAGCTTCACGACAAGGAGTAAAGGCGGAGATGCTATTAAAGGGCTGTGGAAAATAGTGAGGAGGAGAATAATAAAAACAGCTGCAATTTATTGAAACCTTAACCCGTGCCAAGCACTGTTCTAAGCATTTGACATGTAATGAATAAATAACCTGAAGCTTTGTCACTTGAGAGTCTACAAAGTCTTATAGTATAGCCCTTGGTAATAATTATAACATTCAATTAATTGCCCTAGCTGTACAGAGTTTCTAACTTCCGTTTAGGAAAGGTTATTGATTTCCTTTTATTTAGAATTCTTATGGTAGAGGATTTTCAAGGAGAAATAACTAATTATAGAGAAGTTTTTAGTATCAATAATAAAAATATAATCTAATACTGGAAAAGAATGTTTCCAAGTAGGAAGTGCATGTGGATGTAGCTTGGGCTCTTTGATAAAGCACCATTTGTGATCTTGAGCAATCACATAACCACCTTGTCCTCTTTATGCACTAGAACATGTCTACTTTCTCTCTAGCTTGCAAAGCATAACATTAATTAGATTTACATGCTTGAATCAGAAACTGTCCTTTGTAAAGGGCTCTTGATAGATAGTAATTCTTAGCTGAGGAATGAGAGACTTCTCCTGGGGAGGATATGTCAGCGTTCTGAGGGTGGACTGGGCAGAGTCTTCTCTGTTGTACCCGTGGCTCTCACCTCCCAGGCCTGGAGAAGCCTTTTCTTCCCTCGGCCATTTGTCACTTTGTGCCAGAGTTGACTTATCCTGGGACAGTAGGGGGAATTCAGTCTATACAATGAAGGGTATATGACTCTTGGAACTTCTCTGAGACAAAGGACCATAGAAGAAACGGAGAAAATTGGAAATAAAACAATGCAGGAGAAAATGTTGGATTTTTTTTTTATTGTTGTTCCGTGAAATTTGTATTTAAAACCAAATCAAACCTGATATGATTTCCCATAAAAACCCACATGTCATGTCTGGGTCTTTGATTTAATTCAGTCTTTTTATCTACAGACTGGACTTTTTTTATTTCTATATTCATTTTGAAATATTTGAGTAGCCAGATAACTGTCCCAGGAGGCAGTTAATGTTTATTGAGAATCCAGAATTTATGAGCCTCGACAAAGTCAAATGAAATAGAGGCCTCCCTTGGGTAGATCAGCAAGTGGGAATGTGTACTCTTGACTAATTATTAACTTTGGTGTTTATCCTGCAGTTTCAGAGCTGTCTTACTAGTGAAATCATTCTATTTGCTCACTTTCTTTTCCTGTATTTTTCCAGAAAGAAAAAAACTGAAGGCACCTATGATTTACCTTACTGGGACCGGGCAGGTAACTCATGACTTTACATCTTTTTCCGTCAGCGGGAAGTCCCTCCCCTCCAGATGGCAGCAGGGAAAGGAGTGTTTTCAGGCCCACTGAAATTTCCCAGCACTGTTAGGAAGCTGGCATTCCTTCTCTCTTCTGATCATTTTTACTCTCCTGTCAGATCTCTTCTAGTCAATAAGTAATGAAATGGAAAGGAATTATTTTTCTCCTGGAAAACTTTCATCTGGAGGAGACCAGCTTTCTTTGAGGCCTATGTGAACACTGTAAGAGGCAGAGGGTTTTGGTCCTAGTAAAAGTATGTGTATGTCACTCTGCTCTGGGTATTTAAGTGGAGTCCAGCAGTTTAGGAATCCTGAAGTCTGCCATGTCTGCTGTGATAAGTTGTCATCTTCTGAATTCCAACTCTGTATGGTAGGTGGCATATTGCTGCAAGTTACACCAGGGGTCACCTATGGGTCCCCCACTTCCCTGTCTCACTACCAGAACAGCTGTTAGGAGCCAAAAGGGTTCACCACTGTGACCAGGGTAGACAAGAGCAGTGGTGGGAGCTAATCAGGTGCTGCTAGGGTAGATCTTGGAAAGTATTTAAAAAAAAACACACATTTTAAACCACCCCTACCACAGACAAACTATATTTGACCAGTGATCTGCTTCTGTATATGCTTTTGATAGAGATTCCTACCATATTCTGCTTTACGCTATATATCCTATCAAAGCAAAAAATAATCTTGAAAAACTTAAGGAATTAGGAAAAGAAGAACAAACTAAACCCAAAGCTACCATAAGAAAGGAAATAATAAAGATTAGAGCAGAGATAAAGAAAATAGAGAATAGAAAGACAATAGAGAAAAATCAATGAAAAAGTTGGTTCTTTAAGAATATCAACAAACGTTACAAACCTTTAGCTAGATGGACTTAGAAAAAGGGAGAGAAGATTGAAATTACTAAAATCAGAAATGAAACTGGGGACATTATCAATTCTATGAAAATACAAAGGATTATTAATACTATGAACAATTGTACACCAAAAAATTGAATAACCTAGATGAAATGGATAAATTCTTAGAGACATAACTAAGACTAAATCATGAAGAAATAGAAAATCTGAATAGACCTTTAACTAGTAAAGGGATTGAGTTAGTAAGAAAAAATTTCCCAACAGACAAAAGTCCTGGACCTGATGGCTTCATTGGTAAATTCTACCAAACATTTGAAGAAGAGCTAAACCTTAAAGATTCCACACACAGAAAAAGCTGTTAGAACTAATAAATGCATTCAGCAAAGTGGTAGGATACAAAGTCAACACAAAAAATCAGTTGCATTTCTATACACGAATAATCAATAGTCTGAAAAGGAAATTATAAAAACAATTCCATTTATAATAGCATCAAAAAGAGTAAAATACTTAGGAATTAACTTAACCAAGGAAGTAAAAGACTTATACAATGAAAACATTCTAAAAGAAATTTTAAAAGACAGAAAAGGAAACATCCTATGTTCAGGGGTTAGAAGACTTAATATTGTTAATATTTAGTACTACCCAAAGCAATTTACAGATTCATTAGGAATCTCCATCAAAATCTCAGTGATATTTTTTGCAGAAATAGAAAAATCCATCCTAAAATTCAGGGACATATGAATTACACACAATGCCCAGATAAAAGAAAAACTAGACAAATTGAACTTCATGAAAAATTTTAAATTTTGTGCATCAAAAGGCACTACCCACAAAGTAAAAAGGCAACCCATAGTATGGGAGAAAATATTTGCAAATCATATATCTGATGAGGAATTAATATTTAGAATACGTAAGATATTTGTAAAACTCCACAACATATAAACAACTTGATTCAAAAATGGGCAAAGGACTTGAATGTGCATTTTTCTAAAGAATCTCTACAATTGGCCAATAAGCACGTGAAAAGATGCTCAACATCACTAATCTTTAGGGAAATGAAAATCAAAACTATGGTGAGATACCACCTCACACCCATTAAGAAGGTGCCTATCAAAAAAACAAGTGTTGATGAAGAGGTGGAGAAATTAGAACCCTTGTGCACTGTTGGTGGGAATGTAAAATGTTACAGCTGCTGTGGAAAACAATATAGTAGTTCCTCAAAATATTAACAATGGAATTACCATATGATTCAGCAATTCCACTTATGGGTATATACCCAAAATAATTAAAAGCAAGGTCTTGAAGAAATATTTCTATACCCATATTCATTAGCAGTGTTATTCACAACAGTTAAAATGTAAAAACATCGACTGATGAATGGATCTGTAACATATATACATGCAGTGGAATATTATTCATCCTTAAAAAGGAAATTCTGTATTACGCTACAACATGGATAAACCTTAAAGACCTTATGCTAAGAGAAATAAGCCAGTCACACACACAAAAAAACAAATATTGTATGATTCCACTCATGTGAGGTACTTAGAATAGTTAAAATCATCAACAGGGGAAGTAGAATGGTGGTTGCCAGTATCCAAGAGTGGGGAGACTTAGGGAGTTACTGTTTAATAGGTATGGAGTTCCAGTTGTACAAGATACAGAGATGGATGGTGGTAATGTTTGCACAACAGTGTGAATGTATTTAATAACATTGAGCTGTATACTTAAAAGTGGTGAAGGTGACAAATGGATGTTTTTTATATTTTACCACAATAAAAAAAGACGCTTGAACATAAAGGCTAGTTTGTATAGATATTTATTTGTTACAGACATGTTAAATACAACAGGCTTTCTGTTAATATACTGTTACGATTTCAGAAATAGGTTTTTCTTTAATGGTCTCTTTTGCTTACCGCTACAATGAAGGTTGGTGGAAAGGAATGAAGCAGTTTCTCCCGGCGAAATCTGTGGAGCACGAGGAAACCCCCGTTCGCTACAGCAGCAGTGAAGTCAATCACCTGAGTGCGAGAGAGGTCACCACAATGCTGCAAACGGACTCTGCAGGTAACTCGTGGAGCCTTCAGCCCCAGGCAGAGGGAGGAGCTGCTCTGCTTGCTGTGAGGCTCTATGGGATTTACAATGTCTTTTATCTTTTTCATGTGTGAGAGATGAGCTGTTTTCCAATAAGACCACTTCCTTAAATATTACCTTGAGAGAGTCATTTCTGTGCCTCAGATGTTCTATCTGTAAAGCTGAGCCATTCATTTCTAAAAACTATGGGCATTTTTTGTCTCTTTAATTGGAAATCTATTTGGTTTTATTGAATATATAAGAGTATTAAAAGAAGAGCAGGAGGGAATCAAATGTGTAATGTTTTGGTGTAAGGGATGGTGCACCAACCGAGTTACCCAGCCAGGGCCCAAATATTATTCTAGACAAGCAAAAATTCTGGTTAAAGTTAAACTGAATGGATTATATTCAGAGTCAGAAGGCCTACATTTTTAGAGAGAGAGAAAGAGAGAGAAACGATCAATTGCCTTTCTCACACACCCCCTCTGGGGATCGAACCCACAACTGGGGCATGTGCTCTGACTGGGAATCAAACCAGCAACCTTTTGGTGTATGGGATGACACTCAACCAACTGAGCCACATCCGCCAGGCCAGGCAGCCTAAATTTTTTAAAGGAAAGATACATTCTGCCCTTTTTTCTTGTTAAGAGATTGGGCAGCACAGACAGTAAGACAAATCAATCTCTATAGTTAGCCCAGCATGGGCAGCTTCGAGCCTCTGCCTGGCTTGGTCATTCGTTGTGACTGTATCTGGAAGCGCTTAAGCCGCCCTTCTGTGTATTGGTGGATTAGCAATGCAGTGTGTCCAGAGTCACCTTCCCCTCAAGGGTCTAACCCACTCATGTGGTTTTCATTTTAGTTTTTAGTGGAAGTATCCATTGGCAGCTTTAACCATGGTTTTAGACTATGTTTCAAGTCTCAGAGTTTTAAACTTTGCCTGTTCTTTCTTGAAGCTAAAAGGGGCTTTTGGAGTTAAGATCTTCACATCTGCTAACATGATCTCCGCTATTCAAACTGATTATAAAGCACGTGAAATGTGACTGTTCTTTAGTGAAGTCAGACTTACAGATGTAGAGTTGCTTCCAGTGATCTCAAGTACTGTAGCCGCAGCACCCGATGAAACAGCCGAGTGTTTGGGAGATTGTGAGCTTGTTCCCAGGGCACTGCAGTCCATCAGTGTGAGGACTGTTAGCTGGTCGATGGGCTGCGGCCTCCCACGTGCAGATAGTTTGTTTTAAGACAGGGCTGTTTCTGAAAACTTGGTGTGAAATTAACAAATTTAACAGGGAAATTGCTTAAAGGTGTCCTATGAAGAAGTTACTCCTTTTGGTGTATGAATATTTCTCCCCCAATCTTTATCCAGTTTGGGTGGCTCTGCTTTTCGTAGCTTGCCTTTTCTTTGAGTTATAACTGTACTCTGGTGGGGAGACATACCACCCCACCTGAGGTCCTAGGGAGTGAGCTTAGTTAGAGCAGTACTATAGGGATGCCAACACGGTGTCTGTCCGTTCATTCCAGGCTTGGGGGGAATTGAAAAGGGACATGTGGAACTCTCGTGCCGACAAAGCAGGGGTGAAATACTGTAAGTGGGTTGGGAGAGTTAAATTTCAGAAATCTGAATCTTATGTGTATTTATAAGGTAAAGAATTGCTTACTTCGCCATCATGAAATCCTGTTATTTTCACCGGAAGATCCTGCAAAGTAATCGCATTAGACTCTAATGATTAGAGGATGTAAGAGGCTGTGGTGGCCTTGAGGCATTTCAGACTCCATCAGTTTGTCACTTGGCTAACAGACTGGGAGGGTTTAGGGCATTTGGTTTTGGTTTTGGTATTAGATAGAATATAAAAATCAGTTAAGTCTTTTCAAGACTGACTTAGATTTGTACTTTAATGTATGAAAGGAAAGGGAATATCAAACTTGTTTATACAAAAATAACACTGTATAGAAAAATAAGTCTGTTTTGTGTGTACTGATATGTAGTTTGTTTACCCAATGCCTGTGCATCTTTGTGTTCCGCTTTGAATTTTTGTATGTTTACATATGACATTTTTTGAAATAAAAAGAACAGGCATCTAAAAACTTAAGGTTATAAAAGGAAGATTTAAAAAAAATGTTTGCCATCTCATTAGGTGGTGTGATAAGGCTTCGGTTTTAAACGATAACTTTAAGAATAACAGCACTAGCTGGTTTGGCTTAGTGGATAGAGGGTCGGCCTGTGGACTGAAGGGTCCCGGGTTCGATTCCGGTCAAGGGCACATGGCCAGGTTGCAGGCTCGATTCCCAGTAGGGGGTGTGCAGGAGGCAACCAATCAATGATTCTCTCTCATCCTTAATATTTCTCTCTCTCCCTTTCCCTTTTTCTCTGAAATTAATAAAAATATATTTTAAAAAAGAATAACAACACATTTTGCTTGGAATATCCCACCATCCAGAAAAATGGCTGCTTTTCTCAATTGCACATAAGTACATAGTGTTCATTATTAGATTGTAAGCTCCTCAAGGGCAGGAACTGTCTGTTCCGTCTTGGTACCTCCAGCAGCACCAAAAGGCAAGTGCCTCCTTGCACAGGAAGGAAGGTGCTCGTGGTATGTAGAGTGAGTGAGGAACTTCCTGCCCCTTTAAGATGGAGCATGGTTCACTTTTCCCAGTGTTCAAAACTGCAAAGAACCTCATGACTGAAGAGGGTCGACTTCTTTCTTGGGTTTGAACTGAGCTTCTTGGGTTGAACCAGACCGTGCATATCCTCAGCACCACTCAGCCTTCCTTTCCTGAGCATAATGCACCAGTGTCCTGAGCTTTTATGTCATATCATGGCAGAGGTTTCTGGGAAAGTTTGAAGTGGGGCAGATTATAGAGAAAATGTAATAGAAATCTTGGAGGGTGTTTGTCAATGTGTAGCCCTGTTATTACTAAAGAAGGTGTAACAGACCCTCTGTCCTTACCACTCAGCTGCCGGCCAGCTCTCTAGCTAAGGAAACACCACTGGTTTTTAGCTTTTCTCCATTTTGGTTTCTCCTGTTGCTCATCTGATTCTAGTCCTTAGAGTCTAGTAAAGTTGCTGTGAATATCAAGTGCGGTACATAATGGCAGTTTTGTAAAAATGTGATGAAATAACCTCAAATGTGTTGTGTTTTGTACGCAGAGCCACTAGTATTGTTATCGCGGCCAACTTTTTATTCAAAATAAATAAATAACAATTATTTGTAAAAAAAAAAAAAAAAAAAAAAAAAAAACGACATAGTGAGACTTACAGCATTTATCACATTAACCTGGCCTGTACTTATTGTAAACATATTTGGGGGAAAAAAACAACTGAAATTATATTCTAATACTATTCCAACAATGGAAAATTTCTTTTCTAGTGAAAGACTGTATGTATCTTAAGAACATATACAAACACTCTTGATGCAAAATTACATGAACAGTGAGGTGTTCTGGCATATTAACTTATTACCATGATACACAAGATAACATCTTTAATTTTAATTTTTGAAGTTGGTCCTTACAGGGTCTGTGTTGATAGCAACAAAAGTTCCATGGAGAAGTTTTTGCTTTGGTGTAAGTCTGTAGCTTGCACCCTAAATTATATGAGGCCCATATCAATGAGGTAACATTTCTGTTGTCCTTTGTGATACTCACAGAGTATGCCCAGCCGCTTGTGGGAGGAATTGTTGGCACACTTCATCAGAGGTCGACCTTCAAACCAGAAGAAGGAAAAGAAACAGGCTATGCTGACCTAGATCCTTACAACTCCCCGATGCAAGAAGTGTATCACGCCTACGCTGAACCACTCCCAATTACGGGGCCTGAGTATGCAACCCCCATTGTCATGGATATCTCGGGGCACACCCCAGCTTCAGTTGGTCTACCCTCAACGTCCACTTTCAAAGCTACAGGGAACCAGCCTCCTCCTTTAGTGGGAACATACAACACTCTTCTCGCCAGGACTGACAGCTGCTCCTCAGCCCGGGCCCAGTATGATACCCCAAAAGGTGGGAAGCCAGGTCCAAATGCCCCAGAGGAATTGGTGTACCAGGTGCCACAGAGCACACAGGAGGTGTCAGGAACAGGGAGGGATGGCGACAGTGATGTTTTGAAAGAAATCCTTTGAAGGTGATGCTGCTTTTTACAAAGCATCGTTTTAAAGCACATGGCCTTTTTTTTTTCCTATTAGTGGTAGTAATATATAGAATGTATTACATATCTGTCACGGATGTAGTGGGGGAAGTGTGATGACCGAGGTACAGGAAACTACTAATCTTGCCATCTTGCTTTAGAAGTGTTGTTGTAGCAGTTACTGCTTGCCTGTTAAATTTCAAACATCCTGTTTGTTACTACTGTAAAACACTATTTTTAATACAGAAAAAGCTCCCTACTATGCACTTCAAAGAAATTAAAAATCACTGAAAGTAAGTATTTATTACCAATGCTGCAGGTACATTTGATGAACTCAACAAGGCTTTGTAAGCCTGACTGGCAATAATGCATGGTACTGTTCTTGAAATGTCTAATGGCTTGAAATTCTGCTTTGTGTGAAGGTGGGTACTATCATGATTTCCTCCTCTTCTATTCCTGTATTCCTTTCTGGATTTAAAATAATAATAATTAGTGATACATAATCATTGTTTTGATTGCAGTCATACACACGTATCCATTTTTCCTTAAGAAGAGTACAGGTGAGAAACTCCGATTTAATGAGCAGGGTGGTTGTCACTTTTTGACACTCAGGTGCTTTGACACCCGCGGTACATGACTTGGCCTGGTCTCTGCTTATTCCGCCTGGGGCCTTGATGGCCAGCCCGTTCTTGTGTTTGTAAAATGTTTTGTTTTTTCAGTGGGTTATACTTGCTCTATCAAACTTCATGAATTCAGATCCTCTAATGTGTTTAAGTTTACTTCTCACTGTGGAAACAGGAACTTTGCAATTTAAAAAAGAGATCCTCTCTAAAAAAGCGATGAAAGAGATACTCCTCCCCTCCAACTTTATTTGCAATGGGATTTTTTCTAGGAGGGTTGTGAAAAGTTGAGGGCTTCCAAGTAGACGCTGTAAACATGCCCCACTTCTATTTATCACAGCAAAGGCAAAATCATTCTTCAGAAGTCCTGTAAATTACCTTTAAAAAAGATAACCAGAATTTGCCCCCTTTTAAAATATGTAGATTTTTTTTTTTAATCTCAAGGTATGTTTTGGGTTTTTTTTAGTGTTTTAGTTTTCCAAAGCAAACTATAAACTCAGTGTGTTTGTGCCTCATCCGTGTGTGAGAGTGTGAGTAGTTCTTTATCTCGTACGTAGGGAAGAGGTGTTACAGCATCCTCACACGTGGCTATTCATGTGTCTTTTTTTATTCCCCTGGGCACCTAGTTACCATTTACCCAGAACAGAGCTAAGTTTAGATGGGTGAAATAGAAATCATCTGTAGTTTATCAGCCTAGAATGTAAAAACCATGATTAAAAGTCTTTAGGCTGGCAACACGACATAAGCTGCCCATGTGATTAAAATTTGAAATCCCTTCTATATACTTTAATTTGTAGTCTTAATGGAAATGTACTTTTCCATTCCATCAGGTCCTACTCATTTCTGTTGGCCTGGGCCACCAGATTATGATGTTGCCAGAACTTGCTAAATTTGAAGGTGAACAGTCTTCATTTTGTTGCTTCCACAAGTATATCATTAATCTAAAACATTGCTTCCAAATAGAACTGTTTATTTCTACAGCCTCCCACCCTCTCCTTGTATGATTTTGTTGGTTTTATTTTCATTTGCTTTTCCTTTTCCATACATACTATGAAGCATAATTTTATTCATTGAAAACCCAATCCATATTTTGTTTCAAAATATTTGAAACAAAAAGCACAGGTGTTGAACTTTTATTAGAACATATGAATGTGTAAAGCACATGTCTTAATGCAGCCCTCCCCTTTCAGGTGGGAAGAGAGTAAACCAATCGCTTTATTTTTTTATTCATCCTTAGTACAGAGAGAATATACCTTTCCTAGAATCACATACCTTTTTGAAGCTTTAAGAGAAATGTTTTCAATAACTATTTTGTTTTCCCAAAGATGCTTGCTATTTTTGTGTAACTGTGTGCACCTCCTTTTCCCATGGAACCTTTTTTTTTTTTTTTGAGAAGCAAATGTTTTCTTAAATGATGCATGTTTTAAGACTTGATTCAAAATGCCACTGTGCTGTCCTTGAATTGCCAATGATTCTTACAAATATCTAGTTTTTACTACTTTTATATATTTTACTTTCAAAATGAAGAGCTGAGCCTGATACAAAGGGTTGTTCTGGTTTTGTACTTTTTCTTTTAGTTTGTTTTCATAGTAGAGTTTTGGGGTTTGGGTTTTGTTTGTTTTTTTACTACATTTATATGTCTGATATATATATACAGCTTTGGAGACAATCAAGTAACAACTGAAAATGTGAAAAGTAACGATTTTTTACAAAAATGTCCTCGAATTTTTATTCTTTGCTTGAAATATGTAAAAGACTTAAGTCACTGTGGTTTATTGGTTTAAATTTTTTTCCTATTAATGCAATTATAAAAATAGAATCAGACAGTGGTGCAGCAAGTGTGGCCATTACATGTTTTGTAAAATTACACTGACTTCGCTGTTACTTGATCTTAGGAACCAGCACAGTTAGAGGTAAGATATTGTGAATGCTGACTTATATTTTATTAAAAGCTGTAAATCTAAATAGATCCTATTGTATGCAGGGTCTGGTCCAGTTATTTAAGTTCATGTTTCACTATTTGCACTTTGCATTGAACAATGGGTTTAGTTTGCTGACGAAATGGTTCGAGTAGAGGATTTATACAGTAATTGAAATTATGACGTTGTGTATGTACTTGCCCTTCCTCCCACAGCAGGGAGCAGAAAGTGAGCTCATCTGAATATGAATGCAGCTCTAATTGTATGGAAAGTGGTAAAGCTTTAAGGTACTTGCCTTGACTCCACATTGTCACCTGGAGAGCAGCATGGCTATAAAAGCACCATGTCAGGTGATATGATTAAAAAGAACTAACAGATTATGCTCTCCAGACCTTTTTAAGAGAAATTAATGAAGAACAAATTACCTATTTGCTTTGCCTTTCAGTTCTGAACTTGAAGTCCCTAAACTGCAAAATCTGAAGAGTTGGATGGTTATTAAAGTACTTTTTAGGTCATTTAGTCACACCAACTTGTGGCTAGTCTCTTCATCTCTCTCTCTCTCCTTTTTTTTTTTTTTTTTTTTGACACTGGGAAGGGTGGAAACAAAACATGTATTGAAATACATATTGGAAACAAAAATGGCTTAAGTGTCAGTGAAATTCTCCCAGAATGTACTTTTCTTACCTCGGCATGTACTGTAGTCACTCAGTATTTGTATATGTTGCTAGAATTTAGATTGTATAAATAGTGAGATTTTAATGTGTTCATGTGTTTTTAATAAATTGTATATATGTGTCTTGCTCACATTTTTTTTTTTTTGGCTTAACTAAAACCACCTTCAGGTTTATAGCCTTCTCTTATACTACACAAAATGCCAGATTCCTGAATTTGAACATCAGAAAATTTAATGGCCAATGTTATGCTATTCACAGTAACATTAGGGAATGCCACCATTGGTTTTGACTTTGATTTTTTCTGTAGCCACAGTATCCTTTTTGAAGCCGGAGTCTGTGCAGTGGGAGGAAAAGGTCACTGAACATGGGGACCTCAGCATGGCTCCTGCCTTTTCCACCTCAACGTTATTAGAAGAATCAGATGAAATTGGTCCAGTGCAAACGTATGCTATTAACAGGACATCATCCATATTTAATGTCTAGATCTGGATTAAATCTACTACTAGTTTTCTCCCCTACCCTGCTTTCTAAGTACCTTATTTATTCCTGTTTCTGGTCTACTATTCCACCCTTTCTACACTTTCTTTAGAGAGGCAGGTTGATTGTCAATGACATCAATGTCCCCAGTGATAATTATTCAAAAGATACTAATTCTTGCCCGGTCATAGCTCAGTGGTTGAGCATCGACCTATGAACCAGGAGGTCGAAGGTTCGATTCCCTGTCAGGGCACATGCCCAGGTTGCAGGCTGAGGTCCCAATAGGAGGCGGACAATCAATGATTCTCTCTCATCATTGATGTTTCTATGTCCCTCTCCCTTCCTCTCTGAAATCAATAAAAATACATATTTTTTAAAAACGGTACTAATTCTTCAACTCATACCTCTTCTGATAGCTTTTTATTCCATCATTCTTATACCTTCTGTTCTCTTCCTTTCTCCTTCACCACTTACCCTACCCCACCATAGCCGTTAGTTACATTCATTAAACTGGAAAGGGAGACCAGGTCACCACAGTTACATGTAGGACTGGCTTCTTTGCATCCATAGGATTCTTCACTGGAGTACCCTAGTCAGGTGAGCTTTCCGTGTGAAGATGAGAGATGAAAATACCATCTAAATCCAAGAACACCTTGACTCTTCCTACGAATTTACTTGTATCTTTTTCATCTTTCCTAATTTACCTCAAATAATAAAGTTTTAAAAGTTAATGAATTAAACCAGGCAAAACAAAGTTTAAGAATTTTCTCCTTGAGCATGTCTTACTCAGCTTTCTTTGTATAAACTTTTTAAAAAATTTCTTCAACATAATGCAGTCGCCAGACTTTAGTAATTACACTCTTTGGTTATTTACTCATCTAGATAAACTTAAAAACAAAAAATACCATCTTCATTCTACCTAATTACTCATAATCATGGTTTACTTAATTGCAAGGGGGGAGCCTAAATATACCAGTATGACCTTCGATTTCTATAACCATCCACACTGCTGTATTCAGAGCTGGTTTAAACTTCATGTTCCTTAATTAGAACAAAAAGACACTAAAGTCAGCCAGATATAAACCTGGCGTGCTTCCAGTTTGCCACATCAAAACACAACCACATGCCAATTCCCCACCATTTTATAGTAGCCAAATATGTCATTTTGCATTCAAATCTGTTGCCATCAACTTAAGTCCCCTTATTAGGAAGTCACATCCTTTCAAAAGTCTAAAATGAAAAAAACTAAAAATATTTTTAAAAACACAATGCAATTACAACTTTACCCAGACATAGTAACAGTATATGTTGGTTTTCATAAATTATATTTACAGAAATTAAGCTGGTGGTTATGAAATCACCAGGCAGCGACAGGCTTAATATACATAATTTCTTGACAAGTACATCCAACGTTTTTTAAAATAAACTATAAATTGCCAGTATAAAAATAAAACTAATACTGTCAGCATTATCTTCTCTGTAGGGTCAATCTTGAGTCAAATTGATTACAAAGTTCTTTTCTATAATGTCCTTCAAAAAGAGCTGCTCTGCAGTCACGTTGTGATATGCATTCTAAAAGATAAAAATAAACTAAAATCACTGTTTATCCCGATCTCAACAACAGCAATAGAATGTACTGTATCTAAAAAGCTTCTGAATGAAAACTTCAAGTATAACAAGTGTCATGGACTTGGGTTAACCTTTCTAATTTATTTGTCTTTGCTCACTGTTATGCCAGAGCTTTCCCTAAAACCCACTCTTTCCACTCAACCCAGCACGTAGGTAAGGGGCTCCCTCACATCATCTCCTGGTCTGCTGAGTCGTGGTGGAAGTCTAGAAACCAAAATTGTGAATCCAAACGGGTTGATCATTGTAATAAATGCATCACCAGGAACGCAGGTTTTAAAAAATTGTTCTATTCTAATGACAGGCATCCTAGTTTTAGGAAGGTGTTTTAATGTGTGGTTCTTTAGAGGACTAAAAATGCCAAGTGTGCTACCGGAGAAATTAGGGCTGAGAAGAAGTGAGCCTGAAGTCTGTCCCCAGCAACTAACTCGGCAACTAAAGTCTCTGTCACACGTTGTGGGGAAGACACAACAAGTCAGTATCGAGATCTACCCTGACATAACACGGAGATGATAATTTCAGGGGACTGGGATTTCATGGGATATAGCCATATACATTATAGCAAATCATATTTCAGTATTAAAAATGTACAGATAACATTTTAATCCTGTCACTTGTGCTGTGCCACTAATCTAAATTAGAATTTGGAAAATAGAAAACTCCTCCCCAGTCAATAAAAATAAAAATATGAAGGATCCAACCTACTGCCACTGATCCCTAATTCAAGGAAGCATGAGCTAGTGTCAAAGATGACAACCTTTCTGACCATAAAGATTCTTTCATGTGGTTAAAATGTTATAGACCTTGTCTACTTAACTGGAAAAAAAATACATGAAAATTATTACTATGGACATGGCAATGCTTTTAGGTGAATGTGTAATATCTCCAACAGTAGGCTATGTGTATATTTAAATCGTGCAAAAAGGATACAGTATCTAAGATAAGGCTTGGTCCCTGTATGGGTTGTCAGTACTTTACAATAACAGATTCTCCCAAGGGTCTGAGGCCCACAGATTGGGAATCGCTGTAGTAGAGAACGCTGCACTTGATTTTGGCATTTGGTAGCTCTGTAACCCCTATCAAGCCCTCAATCTCTCAAAAGCTCCTCGCTATGTAAAATGATAGAGTGAGAAGAGAGAAAATAGGCTTTCCAACTCTAAAAACTCAATGATTTTAACAAAGAATCTGTATTACCTTGTTCATCAAGGACATGGTGGCGTTCCCATAGTAGTGCAAAGGACTCTGGAGGTCAGAAAAGTTGTATCTAAAGCCAGCAAGGTGGATTCGTGACATATGTGAAAGGCCAAGGTGATGGCAATAATTCCTGTCGTAGGGTGTTTGGGTTTCTGGGGAAAGAAGGAAAATTTTTCTTTAAAAATCCAAATGAGATATTTGTTCCCAAGGCATATTTGGGAGGCCTAATCTTATGAATCTTATAATTCAACTAGTTCTAGGAAAAGGCTAACTAACTTTAACCAAGTAACTGCAGTGATAAACTATACTAGTAAGTACCTGACTAGAAAGCAAGGATTCCAGATATATACAGAGTGTCCTCCCAGTCTCAACCGGATCCTCAATAACTTACAAACAGATTCTACATCCCCTGCACATGTGCAACTACTAAGAAAAGTGCTGTAACAGCTGTTTGACAGGAGGATCTTGGCATTTGAAATTGATGGCCTTCAAAGGAATAAACAAAATATATCAACGTTTTATCAACAATTCAAGATTTCCTTTTGGTTAAATGTTTTTCACAGATTCCACGGACATTATATGTGATTACTTATGATTTTGAGGAAAAGAAAACAATCAAAGAAACAGTAAAATCAAGTAAACAGCAGAAGGCAAAGAAAGCCTGACAGACGTTTGTGTAAGTTTTTCTTTGCCCCAGGCACTATGGTGACCATCGTGTGCTGGAAAAGGAAGTTAATGGTTGGGTTAAAACCTAGGAGTCACCCAACTCACTGATCCATCACGGTTTCTGGCTCTTGTACCTCTTAATGCCATGTACTTCCTTTCACCACACCTTAGAGTACTTCATCGTTACAATAATTTCCTTATGGGGACAGACAATTCTCCTGCACCTATCACCCACAGAACCTATATTATCTCCTGACAATCTTAATCCTGGATAAAGCCACACCCAAGCAGCAGAATGGGCATGAGAAAACATACTTGCCTGGTTGCATGTTACATTTATGACCAAAGTTCCCCCGAGTGAATTTCCATTCCTGCTCTCCAAGATGACAATTTTATACCTCTCTATGCTCCAACAGCCCTAGCCTCCTTTCTTCTTCAACAATTGAATCCTCATTTTTCTAAGAAAATGATCAATCACACAAAAACTACATCATCTTCCCAACTCCAAATCTACCTTCATCTTTACCCAGATTTTCAGGATTCACTTCTCTTACAGGGATCAGATGTCCTGTTTCTACCTACAGCCAACTTCTCCACGAGGGCACCATACCACATCTCTCAACTAGTTTGCTTCTACAGTTACCCACTTTCTGCCCTCATTACCAATATTTTCTTTTACTGAATCATTTCCTTCACCATACAAACATTATCTTAAAAAACAAACAAAAACTATCCTTGATCTTATGTTCCAATCATTTTTCTGCTTCCTTTTCTAGCAAAACCCTATTAGAGATTTGCCTCTGTTGCTGTGTCCCATGTTTTCTTTAATCCATTTCAAACAGGTTTTCTTCCTTTCTTATTCTTCACTCATATGACCTCCATGTTTCCAGAACCAGGGTTTATTGTTTGTGCTCAACCTCTGAACGGCCTCTGACACAGGTGACCTTTAAAATGCAGCTGTGTCCTCTCCTCATTTGGCTTCTGGGACACCATGTTCTACCAGAACTTTAATGTAGTTACAACTAGTTCCACTACCATCTCTAAGTAAAACCAAGGTCTTGCTCTGCTTTTGGAGTTAGGAGGCCACCTAAAGTAAAAGAGGTAATGCCCTGGCCGGCGTGGCTCAGTTGGTGGTGTCCTGTGCACCAAAAGGTTGCTAGTTCAAGTCCCAGTCGGGGCACATACATGGGTTAAGGGTTTGACCCCCCCCCCAGTAGGGGGCATGCAGGAGGCATCCAATCAAAGTTTTGCTCTCACACCAATGCTTCTCTCCCTTTCTCTAAAAATCAATAATTTTTAAAAAATCTTTTTTTTTTAAAAAAAAAGGTTAAACCTGATCGTACCTTTCTTAGAAAAATTATCTCTTACCTTTT